TGCTTTCCTTAAAAAATCATGCCTAGAAATGAAGTATATTAGACTTGTCACACATTTTATATTTCATTACAATAAACTTAATAATAGTCAATTCCTTCCTGGTCAAACAGCTGTAATCAAAACATAAAAGTTTCTTGACAATAGATCAATAAAAATAATTTTAAATATAGATTTTTGTGTTGTTTTCTAATGCAAACTTCAATGAAAAAGTTCCTGGCCTTATCTTTAAGAATGTGTGTATGTATGTGTGAGTGTTTGTACATACACACAATTACATTTATATGTCTAAAAGAGCCAAGTTCTACCTAACTCTTGCATAGGGAAGAAGTAGTGGCACTAATATGGATCTAAATGTAAATATATAAGAACACTCATTTCTTAAATTAATTTGCTTCTCTTTCAAGTACTGTATTTTTAGGACTATAAGATGCACTGAACCATAAGACGTACCTAGGTTTTACAGGAGGATGATAAAAAAATTTTTTGAAGCAAAAAATGTGGCAAGATATTTAATAACCTCTGACCTTGGTGTACCTCCATCCCTCCCCGCCCCCACCACTAGTGAGCCAGGTAAGCTACATTATTACTATAAGAGACACCCCCCACTTTTCTCCCAAATTTGGTGGGGGGGAGTGGGTCTTGTAGTCTGAAAAATATGGTAGCTTGTAAAGTAGGATAAATCACTGAGCATATTTGGAAATAATGATTTGGAAATGTGGGTAATGTCAATAATATCTACACTAGCTACCTTTTGTTGATAAATATGACAATTGTAAAAAAAACTAATAATGACAAACCACATCTATCTAACAGCATCTTTAATATTCTATTCTTTAGTTTCTAACACTGTGTCACACTCTTCATAAAAGAGAAAATAAAAGTAATATAAAATTATCTGGACTCTACCTATTTATAAATGGAGTAAATTTCTGTAAAATAGTGGTTGAACTTCACAATTTGAATACATCCCTCCACAATTATCATGAATAATGCATAAGTTTAATTTTTTTTTTAACTGGCCTTGTGAAATGGCCTAGCTTTGCTAGGGTACCATTTCAATTCGAAGCATTATTATTTTTAAAAAACTTCATTTGTTCCTGGCTGGTGTGGTTCAGTGGACTGAGTGCTGGGCTGTGAACCAAAGGGTCATCAGTTTGATTCCCAGTCAGGGCACATGCCTGGGTTGTGGGCCGGGTCCCCAGTAGTGGGCACATGAGAGGCAACCATACATTGATATTTCTCCCTCCCTTCCACCTCTCTAAAAATAAATAAATAAAATCTTAAAAGAAATAAAAAATGTTTTTAAAAAAGCCACATTTGAATTTTTTAAATTTCAGGTAGTCTGATAAAGACTCTCATAATTATCTTATAGGCCAAATTAAGAAATGTGGGTGGCAAGGAGGTAGAATTCAAATGTATTTGTTCATAATTTGATTATCATGCCACAGAACATCAATGGCAGACAAGATGGCAGCCTTTGCAGTGTTACATAGACTTGTCAGGCTCTGTTCTAGTTGGGATTTATTAATGATTTCAATGAATACTTAGAGGAGAGGCTTATCAAAATTTGAGGTATGTAATGCTGGGAGCTGTTTCACTGGAAAACGCCCCCAAAAGTCCAACCAATAGAATGATATTATGGACTAAAATACAAAAGATGAAATTTAACAATGACACAGATTGTTCCTACTCTGTGATCCAAAAAGGCAACTGAACAACAGGATGGGTGAAGATCTGACTTGGCAGAAGTTTTCATTAAAGCAAAAAAGAAGAAGCATTGAATTGACCACATGTCAGTATGAGTCAAAAGTGCAAGGGCAGTGTACCCTTAAATATTGGTTAAAAGGGTAGATCTCAGGTTAAATGTTCAGATACACACACACACACACAGGTCTGCCATCTCAAACCACCTAGGGAGTATACGTTGTTTTTTGGGGAGTTATAACTGAAAACCTGTTTATTATTATTTTCTGCTTTATTGAGTTATATTTGACAATTAAAAATTGTACATATTTAAAGTGGATATTTTGATGGTAGATATATACTTATACATTGTGAGATACCACAGTCAAGCTAATTTAACCCATCCATCATTTCACATAGTTTCCTTTTTCATGTGTGGTGAAAACACTTAAGGTCTACCATTTTGGTAAATTCCAAGTATTTAATACAATATTTTTAACCTATGCTGTACATTAGATCTCCATAACTTACTTATCTTGGATAGCTAAAACTTTGTACCCCTTACCAATGTCTCCATATTTCCCTCCTTCAGTCCCTAGTAACAACCCTTCTACTCTCTGTTTGTATTAATTAGACATTTTTAGATTCCATATATGAGAACACCCAGTATTTGTCTTTCTGTATCTGGTTTATTTCACTTAGCACAATGTCTTCCAGCTTCATCCATGTTGTCACAAATGGCAGAATTTCCTTCTTTTTTAAGGCTGAGTAATATTCCATTGTATGCGCATGGAAATACATATGTGCATGTTTTTCTTTCTTTATTCATTTGTCAGTAGACATTTAGGTTGTTTCCATGCCTTGGCTATTGTGAGTAATGTTGTGATGAATGTGGGAGTATAGATATCCCTATACTATCTGTAGAAAGTGCTATATTTTGTCTTTTTGATAATAGCCATTCTAATAGGTGTGATATCTCATTGTAGTTTTGATTTCCATTTCCCTGATGATTAGCCATGCTGAGCACCTTTTCATATCCCTGTCAGCCATTTGTATGCCTTCCTTTGAGAAATGTCTATTCAGGTCCTTTGCCCATTTTTAAATGGGGTTATTGATTTCTTTGCTACTGAGTTGCATGGGTTCCTTATATGCCTTGGATATGACCTAGAGAGTCCAAGTTTTCACTCAGTTTCCAGGGAGGGGTAGTTACTAGTAGGAAAATATTCCCTGGATGAGGAGACAACAAGTAATTCAGAAACATGGCCTAGATGCATCATTGTGAGAATAGGAGAAAACAGAATAAGAAGCTTAGAAATTCACTTCCTAAGGTCATTTCATCTAGTTCTCTGCCCTTAATGGGTTAAATGCTTAAGACAGTTTCAAAGCACAAGTCTAACAAGTAATTTTTAACTTTTTAAAGTAAGACTATTTAAAACTTCGATTCAGGTAGATTATTGGACTCTTGAATGAAGAGAGGCTAGAGAACTAAAGGGGAAACCACAATCATACACATGTGTGAGATACTGGAACCCAAGTATGAATACTTTGTACGTAATTTCAAAATAGCATAGTTCTACCCACTAGCCATGTATCCTGTCCAAATAGCTTAGAAATTTCAGTTTTTCTATGAAGATTATAGTAGAATGTACCTCATAGGGCTATTGTGAGGAATAAATGAAATAATAATTATGAAGCACTTAACACATTGTAGATAGCCCATAAAATGTTAATCACTATTCACAAAATTTTTATTTTCCTAGCCATCACACTTATTAACTCCTTTTGTGTTCAGCAAACTAATCACTGGGGATAAAAAATGGACATAGAACTTTAAAAATTAAAAAGACTTGTATATCACTTGGTCCATTTTTTCCAAATCAAATATTAATTGTAACACACACACACACATATACACAACAAAAAAACAACAATAAAACCAGAGCTGCTCTAGTGGAAGGAGTTAGTTTACAAAAAAAAAAAAAAAAAGGAAAGAAAAGAAAAAGAAAATGGGACAATACCATACACAGAAACCTTGGCTCAGTCTTAGGCTGCAATGGATGTATAGTATCTATGGTGCAGGGCAAACTTGTCACATTTTACCATATGCTCAGTAAGACCACATATGATCAGTCCCATTCCTGACAGCCCCAAAGGTCCATGGGTGTTTTCTAGGAAAGACTACCAGAATATTAGTGGGTTGGGAATTCATATGATAAAAGAATTAAGAGAATTGAAATTTTATTAATCCAGTAAGAGGTAAGCCTTGGTAAAATACACCACTGGTCCTCAAATATGTGAAGGACTTTAATACATTTGAGGCAACAGACTTATTTGCCAGAGAGCAGACTAGGAATAATAAAGAAAAATGACTAAAAGCCAGATTTGGGTTAATATCCTGGAACAAAGGAAAAGAACATAGGATCAAGAGTAGGAAGCCCCAAATTCAAGTCCTGGTTCTACTTTTAATTAGCTCTTTCACTTTAGACAAGTTATCTAAACATTATGAGTCACAGAATCCTCACCTGTAAGGTTACAGAAGTTGAAAAATACTCATATGAGAAAGCACACATAAAATATTTTGAGATGTAAAAATGATTTGAGGCTGGGATGGGAGTAAAAGGCAGAAAACTGTACTTGAACAATAATCAAAATAAAAAAATGATCTGGAAATAGTAATAGTAACAATAAGCCACAAGAATAGGGTACCCCATTGCTAAAAACGTTCAAGTGAAGTTGACGTTCAAGTGAAGTGGACCTTATCACTGCAGGGGTTTAATGAGATTCCCTGGACCAGAGACAAAAGGGATTGTTGCTCTCCCAACTGCAAGTACAACTTACTCACTTTCTACATAGTTTATCTCAAAGGCAGTAGATAGTAATGATATGAAGTTACAAAGAATCACTAATGTTAATAATTTAATTTGGCTAAAGAATGTAGTTAATATCCACAATCTTTACAGAATTCACAAACAAGCTGGAATTCATTTGTTCAGATCAATGATACTCATCAACTGTTAAAAAAAAAATAACAGCTTAACTCAGTACCCTAAAATATGAGAAAATATACTTTAGATCAAATTACGGTTAAGTCATTTTACTCAAACTGTATCTCTACATTTGTGCTGCCAATCTTGAAAATATATAGAATTTTCTGGATTGTCTCTGTCCAAATCTCAAATCTCAAATTTCAGCCTTCAGATAGCTGATACTCTCCTTATGCTTCTCTGCTTGCTATATTTTGGTTTTATTTCTGTTAGTGTCAGAAATAAGTAAGCCCTGAGTTAGTAATGCCTGCCAGTTGTTCCAAGTTTACTTACCCTCTGACCCTCTTTTCCCGGTGGACCTTGGGGGCCTTGAATCCCCAGGGAACCCTGTGAGGAAAGAGCAAGCACATGTTAATGGACTGTTTCGTGTACACCTGCCTCCCAAGGAATGTTGTGAAAATTAATACCTACTTTGCTGTTTGAACAAAACTTTTAAAGTGATTTGAGCTCTTCCAAGGTTAAACTATGTAATCTATTAATAATGATGAATTACCCATCTTCAACTGGTTTATCTATATAGTATACTCCAGAAGAGGAAAAAAGGTGACTCCAAACCAGGGGTGAGGCCCAATGTTCACCCCCAGTGAGGACTCCCATGTGATCCGAACCAATCACATTACACCAAACTACCATAACTAAATAGTAGCAATGTTTGCAAGCAAAAAACACAATGCCTCTTTCTATATTTAAATTCTATAAATACAACTACATTTTGGTTGAGAGCAGCTCTGTAAGGATCTGCTAAGAAAACACGTTGTGACATTGGCTTCAATGTATGTCTATTCACATTTAACTTTTGGTATCATAGACATTGTTTAATACTTTCTCATAAAGTGGTAGGGAAAATAATCATTTGATCAGATCATTAAAAAAGGGATGGGAAGTCTCCAGTGTTGTTAATCTGGAAGTCAAGTCTCCTGATTCTTACAGATAGTTACCATTACACAAGAATTCCCATTCACCATGACACTATTGCTGGTTTTATAAAATCTTCAGCAGTTATTGCTAAGCAGTTACCTTTCTGACAGCTTTTTCTGTCTCTCCTGGTCTTCCTCCTTCCCTATTCAACCTGTAAATGTGGGAGATTTAGGCTCTTTTTATTCTCAGTTTATATTCTCTTGCCAGTGGGCTTTGAATTCTCTAAACCAGTAATTCTAAAATGTATAATCCCACTTTATTATCTGAGCTGAAGACCACATATCCACCGCTTGCGTGACCATACCCACTCTTCTATCTCACGAGCATTAGAAATTTAGCATGTCAAAGAGTGAATTTAGCATCCTCTCCAAAACTAGATCCTCTGCCAGCATTGCTCAACTCAGTAAATCCACACCAGATCCTCCTGGTGCTCATGCCAGGAATCTAGAACTCATCCTTCCTACTTTCCTGTCTCATATTTCTTTCTCACACCCAGTGACCAGAGACCTTTCAACGTATCTCCAAAATATATTTGGATCCATCTACATCTAGTCCTAATGCTCCCATTATTGCATATTGCTTGCTTATCTCTAAGAGTTTCCTGATGACACTAGACACAGACCCTACCATTCTCTACATCACAGCCAAACTCATCTTAAGAAAACCCAGCCTGACCTTCTCCGACTTTCCACAGTCTTGTAATGCCTTATACTTGTCTTTTAAATGACCTATCACAAGTTCATTTAAATGATTATCCATGTAATGATTTGTTTTTCTCACAAGGCTCTAAGGATAACAGGTAGAATTTGTGTCTTATTCATCATGCCACATGTCTATTAATGTCTGAGTAAAAATAATCATGTAAGGAAACCAATTAACTCTACTAAAGGTTTTCTAGTAAAGGCAGTAATTTTCAAAGGATTTTGCAAATATTTATGAGTGACTGACCATAATTTAAACGACTTAAATGGCTTGGAATCAATGAGAAGTCTAGTAATGCATATTCAAACAAATCTGAAATCACATTCATTTCAGAAGTAACATTCTTTCACTACCCCATTTAAAATAGTTAGGATTCATTGTTATACCATGACCTTTTTCTTTAAAAGTCATGGCTACCTTTAAACTGAAATATTAGATGTGCTTGTGCTGACCCATAATTACTTATCATGCATATATTCAGTTTTCTTTTTTTTAAATCAAAACTAAATTTTCCCAAAGTGTCGCAGGTTCGATTCCCAGTCAGGGTACAATGCCTGGGTTGCAGGCCATGACCCCCAGCAACCGCACATTAATGTTTCTCTCTCTCTCTCTCCCCCTCCCTTCCCTCTCTAAAAAATAAATAAATAAATAAAATATTTAAAAAACCCCTAAATTTTCATAATGGTGTAACATGCATACTTTTAATATCTAATTTTATTTTGAATAGAAAAACATTTAATTTTTCATTAAGGTAGTTTTCATTTGACTAAAATTGTCAGGATTTAGTATAAATTATTGAAACTAATTTTCTAAAAGCATTAGTACAAAAAAATTCTGCACAGTTCACCAATCCTCAGTGTCCACCAAAATCTCTCTGACTTCTCCACAAACACTAATAAAGTATAGGTATTTATTATTTTAATTACTTTTATCTACTTTTGGAAAAATTTAATGTTATAGAGACATAGCGAGTGTATGGTTTACTAATTTAGGCAGGAATAAAAACCTAATGAAAAAAGTGATCAGTTTTGTTTGTTGCTATAATGTTACATAACCAAGGAAACTTAGCTAACTAGGCCAATTTAAGACTGGTGAATTCCTAATGTGTGTAAGAAAACAAATGTTGAAAACTAAACATACCAAGTATTAATTATAATGTAATTACAGGGAGCTGCGTCATTATTTACAAGACTGACACAATCTTGGCTCTAGATTAAATGCTCCCTCTTACCCTTAGGAAACTATTATCATTTCATGAATAATCAAACTTACATATAACATTTTTGACATCCATCCAAATGCTGACAGCTTTTTCAGTGTTTTTAAACATGAGCTATTAAAACACGCACACACCAAACATTCATCAAGGGAGCACAATTAATTCTGAGTCACATATATGAGTAATAAAAATTCCACTTCTTAACTTTTTGGAGAAGTTACATAACAAAAGCCTACATAATGCAAAAATATTAAAATTGATTTAAAATGTATTCAATGGATTAAAAGCATATTTATGAGAATGTTTTGTGAGCAAAGTCCAAGTAGTAAAATAAGGTATGCTCCCATGCATAACCCACTTTTGTACCTCTTGGATCCTAATGATTCCAGATCCTCCTTCCACCTTTACCTATGTTAAGTCTAGGACCCATTTAGGAATTTGATGAAAAAACTGACATTATTTTTAATCTCCAATGGATTATTTACTACTTAAATTATTTAGGACCAATTTAAAAAAAAAATTCCCAAATATTTCTATTATTACCAGTCTTTTTAAAAAAGATTTTATTTACTTATTTTTAGAGAGGGAAGGGAGGGAGAAAGAGAGAGAGAGAAACATCAATGTGTGGTTGCTGGGGGCCGTGGCCTGCAACCCAGGCATGTGCCCTGACTGGGAATCGAACCTGCAATGCTTTGGTTTGCAGCCCGAGCTCAATCCACTGAGCTATGCCAGCCAGGAGGACCAATTTTTAATCTTAGCCATATTTTTGAGCTGTCTTTATAAAATATTTGAAATTTACAAAGAAAATGATATTGATGTTGTCATTAGTAAAACACAGGTCAACTTACTGTTGAAAAATCACATTCTTCACAAAAAATTAAAATTTGGTGACTATTCTTTATTATCTAGCTCACTATTTTCATTTAGTAAAGTCTAAGAATGGATTTATCCCTTTCTAGAAAAATTATGGATACAATGAAGCTGTAGTTTACTTAAATTAAACTTGGGTAGAGCTCAGCATTTGTCTCAGAGCCCCTCCCTTAATTCATTCTTATTCTGGTCTTGTAAATGCCATTACATGTGTATTTTACTTATTCTCTTAATAACTATGAGTTCTAGAGGATAGAAGATTTATTTTCTACTTTCTACTACACTTATAGAAGGGACTCAATAAATGGTCAATTGAACATAAGAGAAAATGCTGAGATAGAGTAATAGTGGGTGGTGGTGGTAGGAAACAGGTTTCTGCTGCATATATGATGAGCTTTGTCCAGAAAAAGTCCATCTATAGTTAATATAATGAGAATGGTTTGCATGGCATCGATGTAACCTGGCAGCCAAGGAGAGTGGACTGGAATGTGTGCATGCGAACAATGACAACTTCACTGTACTAGTCAGTGGGAGCAGTACATGGTATTGAGTGAGCATGTGTACTGTGTGGCCATCAAATTCAAAATGACTGAGTGAGTAGAGCAACAAATCTGCACCAAGTTTTGTGTTAAGCTTGAACATTCCTCCATGGAAACTATTCAAATAATTTAGGAGGCTTTCAGGGATGATGTAATGATTGTGACACAAATAAAAGTGTGGCAAAAATGCTTCAAAGATGGTCAAGAATCTGTAAAAGGTGATCCACATTCTGGAAGGCCTGCAACAAGCAGAACACCTGAGAATGTTGAACGTGTATGGGCTGCAACCAACACAGATCTGTGACTGAGAGTATGAGAACTAGAAGCTGATCTGGGGGTTCCAAAATCTACTGTGTCCAAGATTTTGATGCAGGGTCTTGGCATAAAATGTGTTGTGGCAAAATTCATTCTGTAGCTTCTGCTACCAGAACAGAAGCAATACTGTGCTGCAGTTGCTAATGACTTGATTCAAACTGCTACCAATGAAACAGATTTCCACAAGAAGGTCATAACTGCAGATGAATCATAGGTCCATGACAATGATGCAGAAGGGAAGGCCCAGTCATCCCAATGAGAGTTACCTGGTTCTCCAAGCCCGAAGAAGGCAGGTGGCAAAGTCTCAGCAAGATCAAGACCATGTTAACTGTGTTTTTGATTGGGAAGGTATTGTCCATCAGAAGTATCCCCCTCCAGGTCAAACAATTAATAAGGAGTTCTACCTCAAACTTGTTTGTTGGTTGAGAGATGCGATTGACAAAAAGGACCACAGCTATGTGCAACTGGTGATTGACAGCTTCATCATGAAAACATGCCCACTCACTCAACATGTCTCATGAAGAAATTTTTGGTGAAACACCAAATCACCCAGATGACTCAGCTCCCCTACAGCCCAGAATTGGTGCCCTGTGACTCCTGGTTTTTCCCAAAACTAAAATCACCTTTGAAAGGGAAGATGGAAGATATTTCAGACAGTCCATGAGATTCAGGAAAATATGATGGGGTAGCTGATGATGATTCCAACAAAGGATTTTGCAGAGTGTTTTGAACAGTGGGAAAGATGCCAGAAGAACTGTGTGAGG